CAGTGGTTAAGAGCACTGGCTGTTCTTGCAGAACACCCGGGTTCGAATCCCAGCACCCACATGGCAGCTAACAGCTGTCCGTAACTACAGTTCCAGGGGTTCCAACAGCCTCTTCTGTCCTCCTTGGGCAGTGCACAACACGATGCTCTTACCTACATGTAGGCAATACACATAAAATAAAAAATAATAAAATGCAGTATTTTAACAGGGCATGAGTGCACATCTGTAATCCTAATGCTTGAAAGGTGGAAGTAATCTCAGGAGTTCAAGTTCTTGAACTATAAAGTTTTTTTTTTTTGTTTTTTTTTTTTTCATACTTTTATTTTCTGTGTATGTGTGTATTGCCTGCACGTAAGTGCACCCGTGTTGTGCAGTGCCCACGGAGGACAGAAGAGGCTGTCGGATCCCCTGGAACTGGAGTTAAGGACAGCTGTTAGCTGCCATTTGGGTTCTGGGATTTGAGCCCACGTCTTTTGCAAGAACAGCCAGTGTTCTTAACCACTGAGCCATCTCTCCAGCCCCCATTCTTTTTTATTTAAAAAAAAAAAAAACTGGCCAGGCATGATGGCACACACCTTTACTCCCAGTGCTCAGGAGGGAGGCAGAGGCAGGCAGTGTACATAATAAGTTCCAGGCTAGCTGTGACTACAGGGAGACACCCAAAACAAAAAGCGCACCTTTAATCCTAGTAGTTGGGTGGCAGAGGCAAGTGGATCTCTGAGTTCAAGGCCAGCCAGGGCTCCATAGTGAGACCCTGTTTCAAAAAAGAAGTAAATGAACAAACAAAAAGATGAATTTTATAGGATGAACATATGAGCCTTTGGCAAAAGGATTATGTATTCAAGGCCAGCCTTGGTTACTTAGTAAAACTTGAAAATCAGAAGAAAAGGGGTTGGGGATGTACCTTAGCTGGTAGAGTGCTTGCTTAGCATGCACAAGGCCCTGGATTTGATTCCCAGTAAACCAAGCACATGGAAGAGGGAGGAAAGATCAGAAGTTCAAGGTCATCCTCAGCTATATAAAGTTCTAGACCAACCTGGACTAGAGACTCTGTCTCAAGAAAGGAAACGAAAGGATTTAAAAAAAAAAAAAAAATACATTGGGCTTGGTGGTACACACCTGTAGTCCCAGCACTTGGAAGACAGAGGCAGTTGCATCTTTGTGAGTGGCGACCAGCCTGGTCTACATAGTGAGTTCCAGGCCAGCTGTGGCTACAAGGGAGACCATGTCTCAGAAAAACTGAAAAATATAAAATTATAGGAGCTGGAGAGATGGGTCAGTGGTTAGGAGCACTGACTGCTTTTGCAGAGGGTTCAGGTTCAATTCCCAGCACTCACGTGGCAGCTAACAACTATCCATAACTCCAGTTTCAGGGAATCTGATGCCGTCTTTTTGACCTCCACGGGCATTGCACAGCACAGGAGCACCAACCTACATGCAAGCAATGCATGCATACACAAAATAAAAATAATAAAATTATTTTTTAAAATTTTTATTTTCCATTTTTTTTTTTTTTTTTTTGCTCTTTTTGAGACAGGGTCTCCCTGTAGCCCCAGCTGGCCTGGATTCGCTATGGAGACCAGGCTGGCCTCAAACTCACAGAGATCCACCTGCTTCTGCTTCCCGAGTGCTGGGATTAAAGGCGTGTGCCACCACAGCTGGCTTTTATTATTTTTATTTTATGTGTGTGCGTGTATTGCCTGCATGTAGGTAAGTGCACCCATGTCGTGCAGTGCCCTCGGAGATCAGAAGAGTCTGTTGGATCCCCTGGGACTGGAGTTACAGACAGTTGTTAGCTGCCATGTGGGTGCTGGGATTTGAACCTGGGTCTTCTGCAGAACAGCCAATGTTCTTAACCGCTGAGCCATCTCTCCAGCCCCATAAAATTTATTTTAGAATACAGAGTATGGAGTCATAGTAAAAGGCAAGAAGCGAGTCTCTCAAGTTGTCCTTTGACCTCCGCATGTGGACCGTGGCATTCCCTGTGTGCCCATACACACAGACATAAACACACAATAAGTAATGTGTGTATGTTTGTTTGTTTGTTGTTGTTTTTCTTGGGTCTTTTTGAGACAGGGTCTCCCTGTAGCCCCAGCTGACCTGAACTCACTATGTAGACCAGGCTGGCTTTGAACTCACAGAGATCCACCTGCCTCTGCTGGGACTAAAGTGTTGGGACTAAAAGCATGAGCCACCATGCCCAGCTGTGTGTTTTTTTTTTTTTTAATGGCATCTCCATACATAAACCAGACTGGCTTTTAAAAAACTCATAATCCTCCTGCCCTAGCCTTCCAAGTAGCCGGGTTTGCAGATACCCCCACAACCAGCTAAGAGGATTATTTATTGACCTTTTCGTTTTCACTTACTTTGAGGATGTGTTTTATACATTGAATTATTGAATTATCTTAATATGTTTATATGATTTTACATGAAAATGAGAATTATGAAGTCTGAGAAGCTATTACATTATTTTGTCACTCTGCTTATTTGTGAGGAATTTATTCTGGTCATCTTTGTGTGGGAGGGGGTGTGTGTTTGTGTGTATACATGTTTGTATGTGTACGCATACATGTAGAGGCCAGAGGTCAATGTTGGTTATCTTACTTAGTCCTTTTCCAGCTTATTGTTTTGAGACAGAGCCTTTCAATGAACCTGGAGCTGAACCTGGACTGGCTGACCATTGAGCTCTGGCGATCTGCCTGTTTCCATCCTCAGCTCTGGGGTTTCAGACACACATTACTAATTAAGCCTGACTTTTACATGGGTGCTGGGAATCTGAACTCAGGTCATCCTGCTTATACAGTAAGCACTTTACTAGCTGGGCCATCTCCCCAGCCCCTGCTGATCTTCATAGATAATTACCTGAGATAAATACCTGTAGTTACACAGTTGATGCTTGAATGAATAGGAATAATAAAATATTTAGTTTCAGGTCTGCTATTAAACCGTTTATGTGCTGCCTTAGGACAACTCACATAATCACTGAGCTCAAGACAATCACTCTAAGCTCCTGTTTCCTTTTCTGTGAAATAAGGAATTGACTCAATGAACTCAAATGTCTCTTTTCACTATAATTAAACTTGCCAAATTTATGGGCACTAAATAAATGTTTAGTACTAATATATTTGAACACAAATTATATAGCACACATTAGTGTATTTTATCAACATTGAGTTGATTGGCACTTAATTATGATTGAGAAAATTACCAAATCTGAATAACTATGTAACTTTCTTCATTCTTGAATTTTTGTTTAGTGCATTTGCTGAAAAAAACTCTGCAGAAATGTGAGAAAAATGGGTGGATGGAACAGATCTCTGGTAAAGGGTTCAGTGGCACCTTCCAGCTTTGTTTTCCCTATTACCCCAGGTGAGCACTTAATAAGAAGCACTGGCCATTATTAACTCAAAGTCAGCTTCTGGGTTACAGCCTTGATGTGCTGTGTCTTAACCTCATTACTGTTACCCTGAACTGGAGCTATCTGAAAGTAGACGGCCTTTGTTTTGTAACTTTCCCACGTTACTCTTTCTATAAACATAAATAATACCTGGTTAATGTATATTATATGAAATTTTCACACATTCAGTAGTACATGTTATACTTAAGGTCATACGTATTTTACACTTGTAAAGACATACTAATTAAAAAAATTGAAGCGTTAAAGGGATTCTTGCCCACTTTCTCTAAAACTTTGAGGTATTCTGCCAGTGTTGTGGGGGCAGACTATGCCATCACACGTGCTTAGTAGACTGTCCATGGCTCTACCCACTGCTCCACATACTCAGAGGGTTAATAATCACTTGTAAATGAAGAAGAATCAGTTTTATTACATGGTGAGAGAAAGGGAAGAGGATATGTGATCTGGGACTTTATGGCTTTGATTTTGTGTGTATGGGAAGTAGTTAAATTGTACCCAGATGTTTGTAACCTAACTTGAGCTCTTGAGGGAGTGTGAGAAGGCCCATCAGTGATGGGCTCTAGGTTCATATTATTTTCCTTCTTCTACATGAAACTTAAGATTTACTTTTTTAAAATCTTAGCCCGGGAGTTCTATTTCCAAAGAAAGAGCCAGATGATTCTAAAGATGAGGATGAGGATGAGGATGAAGATGATGATGAAGATGAGTCATCAGAAGACGACTCTGAAGATGAAGAGCCACCACCTAAGAGAAGGTGTGGATATGTGAAGAATCCTGCTGTGACAGAATAATAAATATCTTAGAAAAAGTGGACTAGGGCCTGGGAATGCAGGCCTATAATCCCAGCTACTCAGAGGCTGAGGCAGGATTACTTCCAATTCAAGGCCAACCTGGGCAATTTATGGAAATCCTGCCTCAGAAAGTTAAAAAATGGTCTGGAAATGGAGCTCAGTAATGGAGTGCCTCCCTAGACTATATGAGGCCCTAGGCTCAATACCCAGTACTGCTCGTAAAACTAAAGTGCTGGTACTCACAGAGATCCGCCTGCCTCTGCCTCCTGAGTGTTGGGATTAAAAGCATGCACCACCATGCTCAGCATAGCTCTATTTTTTAGTCAAAGAAAAATAATTCCATATTACCCTAAACTTCCATGAATCAGTTGAATTTTATTATTTATTTATGTGTTTGAGTGTTTTGCCTGCATGTATGTACAAGCACCACGTGCGTGTCTGGTACTCATGGAGTCCAGAAGAAGACAGTTGCACAGTTGTGAGCTACCATATGGGTAGTGGGAACTAAACCCAGATCCTCTGCCAAGAGAAGCCAGTGCTCTTAACCACTTCACCATCTCTCCAGTCCCAGTTGATTGAATTTTTATACAGTTTTTATAGTCTATTGAAAAATCAAGTCAAATTTCTGTTTAACAGTGATTTCTACATAAGATACTTCTCTTTAGAACTTGTCCTAGCATTCCAGCACTTGGGAGGCAGAGGCAGGTGTATCTCTGTGAGTTCGAGGCCAGCCTGGTCTATATAGTGAGTTCCAGGACAGCTGGGGCGCTACAGGGAAACCCTGTCTCAAAAAGACAAAAAAAAAAAAAGAACCTATCCTAGAAAGCAACTCCTAAGTGACATCTTCTTTCATATATATGTATTTTATTTTTACTTTTTATTTTATGTGTATGCGTGTATTGCCTGCATGTAGGTAAGTGAACACTGTATCATGCAGTGCCTGTGAAGGTCAGAAGAGGCTGTTGGATCCCCTGGGACTGGAGTTACGGACAGTTGTTAGCTGCCATGTGGGTGCTGGGATTCGAACCCAGGTCTTCTGCAAGAACAGCCAGTGTTTTTAACTGCTGAGCCATCTCTCCAACCCCTGAAGTGACATCTTTATGCTCTTGTCCTCACAGCTTGCAGAAGAAAACCCCAACTAAGACCCAAGGGAAGCCTGCATCCATGAAGCAGAGAGGGTCCAAGCCTGCACCTAAAGTCTCTGCCACCCAGAGGGGGAAAGCTAGGCCCCTACCCAAGAAAGCCCCTCCTAAAGCCAAAACTCCTGCCAAGAAAGCCAGACCCTCACCCTCTGTAATCAAGAAGCCTAGTGGGAGCACCTTAAAGAAGCCCACAGCCAGTGCAAGAAAGGATGTGAAACTGCCCAGCAAGGGCAGATCCACCATGAAGAAATCTTTCAAGGCAAAAAAGTAAATTTTATAGGGGAAAAAAGGGTATCATGATGCAATTCAAAATCTTATTTTATAAGGTCAGTGTGTATTTGTTTTAGTTATGATGCTTTTAAAATTACATTTTTTTCCCCTCTTGTATGAACATTGTGGGAGGGAATATAAATAAACCAGTGTAGACATTTGTTAGCTTTAGGTACTGTTCTGGGTGCCTGCCTGTTCATTTTAATTTCCACAGTAATCCTGGACTCTCCTAACTGTAATCTGTACTTGTCCCTTTGGCTCCTCGTACCCCAACCCTTATTCTTTTTTTTAATGGTTTAATTCTGACTTTTTTCCCCCTTCAGCTTTATCTATACAGTTGCAAAGACTTTTATATTTGTACTAAGCACCAACAGGTCAAGTGCTGGAAGTCAGGAGCAGGCAGTGTAGCACTGACTGTGTGACGCCTCCTACCTGGAGACTTCAGTTACTACCGTCACTCTGCTCACCATCCTCTTCTAAAGTCTAGATGCATTTTAGCTTTGGAAAAGAAGCCCTAAACTGTATGATTGTATTAGATTGTGAGGTTGTTCGGCTCCTGGGTCACTGTGACTATTTTCAAGCACTTTTTGCTGTCCCTGAGCACTGCGTTCCCTCAACAGCAAGCACAAGTTGTCTGTCTACACCACTTGGTTTTTGACTGAAGGGGAAGTGTAGGAATACATAGAATCTGATTTCTGATGTTGCTAATGTTACCAAAAACCAAAACGTTATTCTTGTTCAAATTTTTAAATATATTTTTTAATATTTGGAGCATGAGTTGTCAATTCCTGTTTACCTTTTTTAACAAGGAAATCTTGGAGTGTTACCATGCTAATGTAGAAATGTTAAGTGGTAAAACATAAATTTGCTAAAATAAACCGGATTTCAGATTCACCTGTGGGTTTTATCCCCCCTTCTTTGCATAAACACTTTTGATATTAAGCAGTTTCCTTTTTCAGATAGTCAAAAAAAAGCAAGGAGGAAGAAAAAAAGCAAATGAAGCCCTACTACCTAACCTTTTCATTTGTATTTGTTTTAGTATATTGTGAAGTTGTGTAAAATAGCACTAGCTTTCCACTTGAGCAAGGCCAGTCTTTGGTTATCCTCTGTCCCTCCCTCCCTGTGGCACCTGACATTTTAATTGTCTTAGACTCTTGGTGTTCATCTTGCCGCCCAGGCGGTGTTGTTCATACTCATTCCACCCACTCGTCTCCTGGGATCCCCGCAGCTCACATCTGGCTGGGAAATGGACTTGAGAAAACTGGCTGGAACTAGATCATAATCCTGTGTGATCCCATCATGAGTCACTGGGATTTGTGTTGCATGTACGGCAATCTTTCCTGTTGTAAATCTTCCTTTTTTAATGTACATATATTTTGAAAAATATGAATAAACATGAAATTTTAAAAGCTGCTGAACTGTAGCTTATATTTGAAAGTTTCCAGTATATTCTCAAAAGTAGCTCAGTGTTGCCTACCTTTTAACTTCTGCTCCATCCAAGGACTCTATCGCTTTCCTTTTTTGTTTTGGGGGGGTTCTTTTTGTTTTGTTTCATTTCACTATGTAACTGGCTTTCCCCGGGTCTTCTGCAAGAACAGTCAGTGTTCTTAACCACTGAGCCATCTCTCCAGCCCCTCTTTTTGAGACAGGCTCTTCTTGAACGATAGATTCACCTGCCTCTGGAGTTCTGGGATTAAAGGCATGCAGAACCATGCCCGGCAGTGCCGGGCAAAAAATAAATCATCTTGTCTTAAGGACTTTTCTCAATGTCATAAAAGTCCAACCTTTCATGTTTATTGAATGTTCAATATCCAGGTTAATCTTTGAAGTGGAAAAAAAAGTTACAGTGCAGCTAAGGATGACAGCCAAACCCTAGAGACCTAATTCTAGAAAATGATTTGAATTTCTTTTTAATTTTAATTTTTTAAATATTTTATGTGTATGAGTATTTTTCCTGCATGTATGGAAGTGCACCATTTGCATACAAGACTAGCAGAGGCCAAAAGATGGCTTTGGATCCCCTGGAACTGGAGTTGTGGACAGTTGTTAGCTGCCATGCAGGTGCTAGGAACAGAACCCTGGTCCTCTAGAAGAGCCGCCAGTGCCCTTAACTGCTGAGCTATCTCTCTCTAGCCCCTTTATTTTTAATTTTGTTGGACTTTTTTGAGATAGGGTCTCCCTGGAGCCTCAGCTGTCCTGAAACTTGCAACATTGACCAGGCTGGTCAGCCTCCATCCTGTAAAAGGCATGTACTACCACACCCAGCCCTGATTTGAATTTCCCTAGGGCTGTTTGGGTTTTTTGAGACAGCTTCTTGCTGTATTCCTGAGTGACCTGACCTCTGTGTAGACCAAACTGGCCTCAAACATGCATCCTGCTGCCTCTACCTCCCGAGTGCTGGGGTTATAGACCATAGCCACCACACCTAACTTCAGTGTGGCTTTTAAGTGACAGCTGCCAAACTAATAGACTGTATTTACTGGGAATGTTACTAGGTTAAAGTGAGGTTTTGACAGAACACCTGTTCAGGCATCTGGGTTTTCTCAGGTACCACCTCCAGAATGCTTTCTGATTGGTCTGCTCAGTTTATTCTGGAAAAACCATCATGAGCTCCCAGGGTGTTGGTTAGGGTGGGCTTTTCCCAGGAACCACAGCATCTGTCAAAAGTTCCCTTGTTGGAAGTTTAGCTACATGCTTTTGTTTGTTTGTTTGCTGGTCTTTTTGAGACAGGGTCTCCCTGTAGCTGGCACTCACTATGTAGACCAGGCTGACCTTGAACTCACAGAGATTTGCCTGCCCCTGCCTCCCAAGTGCTAGGATTAAAGGTATGTGCCACCACAACCAGCTTAGCCTTGTGCTTTTAAAACAGAACAAGGGCCTGGAGAGATGGCTTAATGATTAAGAGCACTGGCTACTCTTGGCATAGGATCTGGGTTTGGTTCCCAGCACCCACATGGCAGCTAACAACCATCCATAATTCCAGTTCCAGGGAATCTGACACCCTCTTCTGACCACCTTGAGCAATTGCATGACACAGGTGCACTTACATACATGCAGGCAATATACTCATACACATAAAAATATTTTCTAAAATGATCTAAAAAAAAAATCAACAAACAACTTGTGTTCCCTGAAGCCCATCAAGAGAAGTTCTGGAATGTAGATACAGTCTACAGTTGTTTAGGGACATGGTGTCTGCTTAGAACCAAGAGCTGGAATGTTAGGAATCCTCAGTCCTCTGTCTTCAGCAGGCCTGGATCTCGCTGAGAGGCGTATGCTGCCACCCCACCACACCCCAAACCTGTGTGGAAGAACTGTGTGGAAATTCTTCTGCCAAGCCTAAATCCCTTACCTCTTTGTGTAAGTCAGGCTTGCTGGTAAGAGCATACAGTGCAGGTGCCTGGGGAGGTGACTCATTTGGTAAAGTGCTTGCCACAGAAGGCATGAGGACCCACATAAAAAGTTGGGTGTGCTGGTACACACTTTAATGCTAGTGCTGGAGAAGTGGAGACGGGAGGATCTCTGTGCTCACTGATCTGCCAGCCCCATTAATCTCCCAGTGAGAGACCCTGTCTCAAAGAACAAGGTAGATGACTCCAGAGGAGTCATACCCAAAGTTGAACTCTGGCCTCCACATGTGCGTACACACACACACACACACACACACAAAGAATATACAGAGTAAAAAAATTCATCCTAGAAATATCCTAGAGGAGTTTATTCAGCCTAGAATTTCAGCGCTTACAGCTGTGATGCTGCAAGTCCTCAAGGACTGTTAGCAGCTGTTACTTTTGTCCCCTGAAATAATGAACAGGAAAGCCAGCCCTTGTCACTTTAAAATAACTATTTAGAAGCAATATGAGGGACACCGATATCACAATTTCTCTGATCACTATAGTTACTAAGGTATTTTGGCATGTTGGGAAAGATGGAATTTATTTATTTTGACAGGTTCTTGCATTGCCCCAGCCGGCCCTGGAGCTCACTTTGTAGACCAGGCAGCCTCTGAGATCGGCCTGCCTCTGCCTCTAGAGTGGTATTAAAGGAATGCACTGCCATGCCCAGCAAAGATTGAATATTTTAAAAAAATAAATGCGCTTCAGAGGTTACAAGTGCTTATTGCTCAGCCAGTGTGGTGGTGCCCGTCTTTAATAATCCCAACACTAGGGAGGCAGAAGCAGGTTGAGCTCTGTGAGATTGAGGCCACCCTGGTCTACACAGTGAGTTCTTGGCCAACTGGGGCTACAAGGGAGACCCTGTCTCAAAACAAAATGAGTGTATTGCCTACATGTATATAAGTGTACCCGTGTCATGCAATGCCCTCAGGGTCAGAAGGTGTCAAATCCCCTGGAACTGGAGTTAGGGACCTTTGTGAGCTGCCATGTGAGTACTGGAAACTGAACCTGGGTCCTCTCCAAGAGCAGCCAGTGCTCTTAAGTGCTGAGCCATCTCTTCAGTCCCTGACAGATGTATTCTTAATAATTGAAATCTCTAATTTTTAGATAGAAGTAAATTTAGCTTCTTTCTCCCAAAACTAAGCACATCAGTGATGAATGTGGACAAGCTCAGGTCTGGTTCGCTCAGCCACATCTGCCTTAGTGGCTCTATACACTGACAGGCATAGCCTCTGGCTTAAGGCACAAGAAGATCATATGTAAAATTAGTGGGCAGTGTTAACAGATATTATTTGAAACTCATTTAAACTGCACAGTTTGGGGCTGGAGGATGGCTCAGCGGTTAAGAGCACTGACTGCCCTTGCAGAGGACCGGGGTTCGACTCCCAGCACCCACATGGCGGCTACGAACCATCCTTAACTCCGGTTCCAAGGGACTCTGAAGCTCTATTCTGACCTCCGTGGCATTGCACGACACGGGCGCACTCACATACATGCAGGTAATACACTCATGCACATAAGAATAATAAAATATTAAAAAATAAACTGCATAGCTTGTTAGAAGAGCAAGAAAAAGCAACAAAGAAAACAGTGTACAGCCTTGAATTAAAAGGTGCAGAGAGCCTGGCATGGTGGCATATGCCTTTAATTCCAGTGCTTGCAAGGCAGAGGCAGGTGGAGCTCTGTGTTTGAGGCCAGCCAGGGCTACATAGTAAGACCCTTTCTCAACAGTCAAGAGAGCATCATAGGCTGCTCTCCCATATAATGAACTAGAAGGGTAGCCAGGGAACAGAGCTTGCCCATATACCATGCTGAAATTGTCAAGTAGGCCAGGCTGCCAAATGATACCGGTATCCCAGTCATAAAGCAGGACATGCGATGTCTGCACCCTCATGTTTACCAAGATAATGGAGTCAGCTGAGGTCCCTGTCCACTGATGGCAAAGAAATGATGCTTACAGAAACCGGGCATGGTGACTGACACTGGAAACCCCAGCATTCAAACTCCAGCATGCTCCTCTACAGCTACATTGTAGCCAGCCTGAGCTACAATGAGATTTGACTGTTTTGTTTTGTTTTGTTTTGTTTTGTTTTGTTTTGTTTTGTTTTTGGTCTTTTTGAGACAGGGTCTCCCTGTAGCTCCAGCTGTCCTGGAACTCACTATGTAGACCAGGCTGGCCTTGAACTCACAGAGATCCACCTGCCTCTGCCTCCTGAGTGCTGAGATTAAAGGTGAGCGCCACCACGCCCGGCAAGGAATATTATTCAACCATCAAAAATCTTGCTGGCTGCACGACATGGGTGCACTTAACCTACATGCAGGCAATACGTATACTCATACACATAAAATAAAAAAATAATAAATATTTTTTAAAAAAATCTTGCTGGCAAGATGGCTCAGTAATTAAAGGCACCCTCTGCCAAGATGTAATGAATTTGATCCTCAGGACCCAAGTGGAAGGAGAGTATTGGGTTCTGACAGTTGTGCTCCCACTTCCCATGCATCATGGCATGAACATGCAATTAAATACATGAAATGTAATTTTAAAAATTTTGTTTTTATTCTATGTGTATGAGTGTATTGCCTGCATATATGTAAGTGCACTTGTGACATACAGTGCCCGCTAAGGTCAGGAGAGGGCATCAGATACCCTGGAACTGTAGTTATGGTTTTGAACCAGAGTCTTCTGCAAGAGCAGCCAGTGCTCTTAACCGCTGAGCCATCTCTCCAGTCCAAATGAAATATAATTTTAAAAATTAAAAATGGGGCCGGGCATGGTGGCGCACGCCCTTTAATCCCAGCACTCAGGAGGCAGAGGAAGGCAGATCTCTGTGAGTTCAAGGCCAGCCTGGTCTACATAGTGAGGTCCAGGACAGCTGGGGCTACAGGAAGACCCTGTCTCAAATAAAGACCCCCCCCCAAAAAAAAATTTTAAATGGGGCTGGAGAGGGCCAGGCATGGTGGCCACAAACCTTTAATCCCTGCACTTGGAAGGCAGAGCAGGCAAATCTCTGTGAAATTGA